CCCCCCCCGCGTCGCCGCGGCCTGGGGTCGGCGCCACGGGTGGCTGCGTGCGTGCGCCCCCTCCTCGGCCCGCCAGGGGACTCGCACGCGTGGCTTCCTTCGTGTCTGGCTTCCCTTGTCTGCGAGGTGCGTCTGTGTTTTGCCTGTAGCAGCTGCAGGAAGTAGTCGCACAGTCATCTGTGCGGTTTTGGGGAGGTTTGAGGTATCTATTGAAATGTATTCATTTTATTGAATGTACTGGGGTGACACTGGTTACCAAGACCACATAGGTTTCAAGTGTGCGTTTCTGTGGTACGCGCTCGGTGCCCTGCATTACGTGCCCACCACCCAAAGTCAGATCTCCCTTCGATGTAACTCCTGCTGTAGCTTCCCAGTCGGCCAAGGTGCTCTTTCCAATTCATTTTCCACACTGGTGCCAAAAATACCTTTCTAAAAGATAAATATGACCTTGTCAGCCCCCAAAATGCCTCTGCCCGGAGAGGAATCCCTCCCTCGTCCTTCAGCTGGATGACCCCTCGTCCTGCAGAGCTCAGCTCACGTGTCGCTTCCACGGGGAAGCCACCCTGAGCCCTCCTGCGCGCCCCTCGGTCGAGGCTCCCGTAGCCTCCTTCACTGGCCTCGCCTTGTTTTAAATGACATACTGCAACTGCCTGTCTCTCTGTCCCTCTCACTGGGCTCTAGCCTCCAAGAGGACAGATTGCCTTGTTCTCCACTGTACACCCGACGCCTAGGGTGGTCCTCACATGTAACAAAGAAATATTTGCTGGATAAATAAATGAAGTGCCGCTGGCTTCTCGTGTTCATTACGGATGGAAACTCAGATTTTCCGTACTTCGTGGCCACACTAATTTCCTCAATGAATACCGCTAATCAGATGATCCCCCCAGCTCGGATCCCCGCGTTCCCTACACAATTAAGTGCGCACGTTCGCTCAGCATTTCTGGGTTCTCGGGGAGCCCTCCTGGACCTCCACTGCTGTCCGCGGGCAGCCCACGCCGCGGCCGAGGGAGCGACTGGCGCTCCCCCGAGCTCCCCTCAGCCCGCCCACCTCTGCACCTTTGTTCCTGATCCTCCTCCCGCCCAGGAGTCCTGGTCAACATTAGGCTCCTTCCAGCCCGTCTCAGTGTCCCTGTCTCTGTAAAATAATTCCAGGTTTTCTTCCCAAAATGCTCCCCTCCCCTCCGCCGTCATCATGAAATACCTTTCTGAGCCCCACGATGGGCCGGCGCTGTTCCAAATGCTTGCTATCCAACCATTTGCTCTTAGGAAGCGGGGACTGTTGTCCCCCTGTTACAGATGAGGACAGTGGGGCACAGGGGCACCGACCTGCGTTGACACAGGTTTTCTTATTAAGATGCAAGCCTGTGGGGCCGCAGGTCTGCGCCCGGCCCGTCTTTGCCGCCTCCACCTTGCCGGGCACACACTTGGCACACGGGTAACACCCGGGCACAGGGCTTCCCTGCACAGTCCCCTGTCGCAGGGCTCCTGGGTGGGTATGTCACAGAGGAAACCGAGACTGGGAGGAGGTAAGGGGCTTGCCCAGGTTGCACAGCTAGTACCTGGGGACAAGAGGACCCAGCCCAGCTCTGTTTGGGTTTTGAACCCAGGTTCTTAGCGCTGTTCCCTGACAGCCTCAGGCACTGTTACTTTGAATCAAACCACCGCTCCTGGGCCAGCTCATTCCTCATTCCTGCCACCTCCCGCCTCTCATGCGGTTCGGGTTCTGGTGACACGGGAATGGCGAGGGGCGAGCGCTGGGCCCCGGGCGGGTGGAGGGATGAACTGACGGGCCCTGGGCAAGAAGCTGCAGGACGGGCCCGCAGTGAGAGCCACGGGTCCGGCTCCAGGGGGGCCGAAAGTAAGGGCCCCACTGCATTCGGGGGCCAAGGTGACCCGCCCACGGGGTATCCCCGGCTCAGCCAGACGTCCAGGCTCACTCCCGGCCCATCCTTTAACCCGTCGCCATAGCCTCACCTACCGTGCGCTCAAAAATGACAAACTCTATTCCTCATTAAGCCAGCGAGGAACTCCCTGCCGCGCTCAGCTGGCACCCGGCGGGCGGGACGGGGGAGGGAGAGCCCCCGAGGGGGATGGAGACAAACTGCGCCGGCATTGTGAGCACCGCCCAGCTAGGTTTGTGTTTCCTACTTTGGGGGGATTGTTTACACAATTCTTCCCCTCATTTGCACACAGAACAAGGCATTGCCTGCTGCCGGGGAGGGGGGGGTGTGTGTGTGAGTGTGTGTGTGTGTGTGTGTGTGTGTGTGTGTGTGATGTGCACACCACACCTCTCCAACTGAAAGTGGAATGTGCACCCTGCCGCCCCTTCGTGGGCGCCCTGTCGCTCTGTAAACCTCTCCTTGCAGATGAGAGTGTCACAGTGACCCCGGCGGGCCAGGAGCAGCCTAGAGCCTCCTCGGTCGGACGCTGCTGCCCCCGGGGCCCCCAACTTCAAGGTCCCCAGACAGACCCTGTAGCTTTGAGCAGAACCCCTTTCTAACCACCCTGAGCAGACACCCCAAAGATGTAGGAAAGACCCACCTCCCACCGCTTTGAACCCCATTAGAAGAGAACTCTATCCCGAACGTGGGCTCTGTGGAGATGGGTTTTCTTTATTTCCCTGGGGCCTCCAACCAGTTTAAACTGTGCCGAGGGGGACCCGCTGGGTTGGGAAAGCAGCCAGACTTCGAAGCGGCTTCCCCAGGGTGAGCCCGGTTTCTGCAGCGGCCGCCCACGCCGAGCGGGTGGGAGCGTATGCGGTGTATGCGGGCGCAGGGAATTCGGGTGCTTCTGGAACCCAGGCGGCCGGGGAGCTGCCGGGCACGGGTTTGGGAGGGGGGAAGTTTGCACTGTTTTGGTGAGAAAGTGGCACAGGACAGATTCTTGTTGTTCAACTGAGAAA